ATTTGAGTAGAGGTAAACGCTTGGCTTGGTGTACGATAAGCCCCCCCACCTCCCCCGCCAGCCTCTTACGTTTACAAAAGGCTCCGATGCCTTTGAACTGGGTCCTAAGAATCATTTGTATTCGTAAAGGAAAAAGGTAAAAAGTGAAATATTTCTTGTGGTAACAGTATACCTCGTAAAATTTCGTTATCGAGAAGACCTCGAAATAAATGGAGTTGCGTAAACCCGTCTAGTCAGACCATTTTGTTGTGAAGTTTAATTAGAGTTTAATAATTTTTTTTCTCAGTTAGATTCCCTGTTTCCTCGACATTAACAGGAAGCTTGTTTCTTCACTAGCTATTCTTGAACAGCACAACAAAAAGGCGGGAAAACAATTATTAGTGATTTGCTTTCCGTATATGTTCAGTAACGATGGGAAGGAAAGCCATCCTATTTCAGTTTTAATTATTCTTGATGAAGAGGACACGATAAGGGAGTTTAAGATCCAACGACCGAACAGCAAGGAAAACGTCGCTTAAAAAGTGAATTTGCGTTCTTTCATTCTTTATAGCGATTATTTCTACCCACTTACCTTGTCAAATGTAGACGAACTCTCCCGACGCTGAATTTCAAGGGACCATATCCAGGCTCAGAAAGAGAAATAAAATTTCGTCGTTGCATTTACATTTACATATATCATCTTGCAACATCTATAACAGATATATTCGCAAGCTCCTAACATCACACTAAAAAACGTAGTCAGAGATGGTGGCTTTAAATTTTGCAGTTGAATCCATTGTTAAGTAATCAGATGGCAGGCTATTCCAGTCAATGATAGTTCTCGGCCAGAAGCTGTATTTGTACGTGACACAGGATGGCTTTACGCCCTCTATAAAACGCGAAATTAGGCATTTTCACCGTGTAGTCGTGCAAAAACGGGAAAGAAATGTACAAAAAAGTACGAGGCACGTGCAAAGTTGTTCTCGTTGCCGTCGCGCCGTTGAATCTTAAAGTCAATAAAAAGCGCTGGTTGCAAAACACAAGATTAAGTTATAATTTTCCAAATTTGACTTACGTTTTGTTTTTACAGTAATATTGCCTGCAATTGCCGAAAAGAAGTTTACAGTTGCATCAAATTTACACGTATTTCTCGTTCCTTTACCATAAGTCAAAAAATAGTGGACATTGTTTAATTAGGCGCAATTTTCCTTGCGCTTATATACAAACATCTTCTTTTTTTCTCCCAACATCACAGCATATTTCAGGGCAGGTAATAGAAACGTTTGAAAAGCGCGCAGGCTCGCATAGCTTCAAACGACTTGATAGTAACCAGCTCTGAAAGACGATGTACAGCTTTCGACTTATAATCGGCTTCTTGAACCGCAAGAGACCTTCTAACCGGTGATGTTTGTTCCGGGGTTTTGAATAGGTATGAAAAACCGATGATTCTGTTTTTAGTCTTATTTTCGCCAAAAACAAATAGAGAAAAAAATTTGAATTTTTCTACCAAAAATACCCCCGCTCTGTATATTGTCGGTCAACAGTATTCTTGCTCGTTGTGTAGCTCTTTGAAAGATACCCATTCATAATGAAGATTTTCACACATATTCCATGCAATAGGTGAGATAAAAACATGAAACGCAAGGTTCCATGCTCAGTTTCAGCCCGATTTACACAGCTTTGATCAAAACATTCTCAGTCTCAAGAATAGTTTATTCTAAACCATAAGGAATAGAAATTAGAAGTTAAATTTTTGGCTATTTTTCTTTCACTTTTTACATACAGTTCATTTTATTTGCCGGAAAGTAAGCCTTAGAAATTAAAAGGTCGTTTAATCAATTCACGCTCGCGGATTCTCGTCTTATTTTAAACTTATAGCAGAAGGACATCTGTGAGCAGGGAATAGGCGAATCTTTGTTTACACTTTTTGCCTCATTACCATATGCTTATCACTCTCTGATGACGCTAATAAAATAAAAACTCTGAATATTGAAAGGGCATAACAGTTTCAGTTATCTCTGAAAATTTGAGCCCAATACACCGAACGGTTTCGGAGAAATTCTCCTCTAAAAACTCGAAATTTTACAGAGAATGTATGGCTCATTAACTTTTTTGCCACACAGCAATTTTGCAATTTTTGATGGCTGATATTTCCTTCAATATTGCTCGCAAAGAGCTGAAAATTGCACAAATTGCCCAACTTTATCAGCTCTTTCGACTTTTGCATTTAATTCATATATACGGCCACGGCTTCTATGAGTTAAGTCGTATGGTAATGAGGAAAAATGTAAACAGTGACGTCAGCAAAGATTCGCCTATAAGTCAGCACAGAATTTGATTGTCGGTGAATTTCTGTAATCGTCCATCGTTCTACTAGTGATATGCTAGCCGTTGATCCACTCGCCTTGCTTGTTTGGGGCTGAGTCTTATTCCGGTCAAAGAGAGAGAAAGAGTGTCTGCCACAGATTTGTGAACTCGTGTCTCGCAAACTCTCCAAGTGTTTATATATACACAGTTATACGCACCTTATAACTTGATCTACGCTTAGCGAGTGTCTTTGGTCCATAACTTTCAAAACAACTGCTCCACAGAATGTCACTGATAACACATAACGCAAAAGAGTATCGAAGTATGACTGTAAACTAAAATGTCATAAAATCTACCTAAGAGGCCCCTTCGGGATTTTCTGTCTCTACGTCATCCTAACCATCTCGGACTTGCGGGCGCGAACAATAGAAACGTCATCATTACCTGACGATTCCACGCAGCCCCTGTTCAAGCAAATCGAGATTTTTTCTGGCATACTGACTGTATATTTCAGCTGTAAGTACTTTCCTTAATATACGCGCAAGTTACTAGAGTGCCTCTTCGGGATTTCGCCTTCTGGACGAAATCTCTGCGGGGGCAAGAAAATCCGACTTTGACATCTTTATACTCCAGAAAGGCTTCTTTTATAGTCAACACATCACTAAACATTATTTCTGGTCTTATTTTATCTAAAAAATAAAAAAAAGAAAACAGTCGAGAGAGTTTTTCTAAGATTTCAAGTTGCCGGGTAGTTGTTGTTAAATATATAAATATCAGCAAGTCCACAGCATCAAACCAATGAGTGGTGCCGGATCTCCCAGCTGTTGACCTGGATCAGTACAATTAAACTTGTAGAAAAATATGAAACGGCAAACTAATCCTTACGGCAAGGCGATAAAGACGTAAACAAAAGGCAAAGCCGGCCAAACCGGGAATGCATGTAAGCTCAGGGGCTTACATGTGACTTGATCTTGTGGTCAGGTAGCTATTCTTTCATGATCCAATACGCAGTTGTGAACACCTTCAACAGCACATCTTCTGCGACTCTTTCGCGTTCGTCAAGGGTTCTTTGAAACACGGAATCCCCCTGTAGCATCTCCGCTGAAACTACGTTCATATGTTGTGACGTACGGCAGTGATCTTCAAACTCTTCGGGCGAAATTGTTTACAGGGCTCCTTGTTAAAAACTTTCGACTTATTTTGAGGATTGTGTCATGTTTTTTGCACAACAAACAGAACAGACCTTCGCCTTCAACGTAAACAGGCCACCACATCTCAGTTGTAACACAAAATCACATCGATCTTTTGTTTAGCCAACTATGTTGAAAGTTGTAAGTCTGCTTTGCAATCTTTATAGCTTCATTGTTGGTAACATTACAACAACCAGCCCTTTTACAGAAATAACAGATGTAAACAAGTAACCCCGAGGGAGGGGGGGCTCCTATATGAAAGGGGCGGGGCTGCTCGTTGTCTCGCTTAGGGGTGTAAACTTCGGATTCTGGTTGATTCTATGTCCCAGATCTTACTCATTAGAAATTATACCACGTGACCAACCTGTTCTACTGAGCTTCCTCCATGAGAGTTTAAAATAGTTTGGATCGGAAAAGCTTTTATCAATTTTTGCTTCTTTAGCAAAGAAATACAGATTTCCTTTGAAAAATGCAAAACAAACACTGCGCGCTGTTTTCGATACTGCCCAGGGCTAATCGATGAAAAGCCGATGATTCCTTTTAAGACCCTGACAGCAAACTGACCAAGAGAAGAAAAAGAAGAAGAAAATGATGACGATGATGATGATGCTGACGTTGATAGTGGTGTTGGTGCTAGCAGTGATGATGATGATGATGATGAAGATGATGATAATGTCCATGATAGTGATGATGGTGGTGATTTTTGCAAGATGTTGATGTTCATGGTGACGATGACGATGATCATGATTGGTTAGTCATGACGGCACATATTCTCAGAATATTTTTTATTGTTCATCAAAAATATTATCCATAAAAACATGATAACGTCGACCCATGTTCTCGTCTTACAATATAGTCACAAGCATATCTTCAAGTAGCAAACGTCATCCCTTGAATTGTGTTATTGCTGGTCTTGCTATGTTTTTAGGCAGAAGTTCGGCTTCTTTTTTTCTTCGCAAAACGTTGGTAGGAAATTTTCCGCCACTTTCTGTCAGAAAAATTGAGCTTAAATGATTAAGTACGAAGCCATCCTTGTGCCTAATTATGTTAGGTAAGGAGGTAATACAGCATAATTGTTGGGAAATGAGGAGTTCTTCAGTTCTATTGGCAAAACTGAATCACTTAAGTGACGAGCCATGAATCTTCAGGAGGAAAGATGAGCAAAGATCACAATAACTTCAAGACAAAATATCCTGACATTTTATAAAGCAAAAAGGGCAATAATTACATTTTGCAGATACAATACCGTATTTTGGGAGTGTTAACTTAATTTTTTATCGGCAACTATTGACTTATACTATAAACTAAGCTGAGGTACGACTTGACACACACAGAGCGTCCTTTACTGGCTCAAATTATCCCTCTTTGTCACTGAAAATGTGGGTAGTACGCGATGTAGCACGTTATCTGTCCACAGAAACGTTAAACGTTTCCTCTGTATAAACGCATTTTAGACACTAGTGAATTTTGTTACTTGGATGCACAAACTAGGAATTTATCGATTCACTAATGAAACGCTGTCTTTTATAACTCAAAATCAAATTCTAATCCAGTTCCTTTCAGTTTTTCCAACACTTCCTTTTCAAATCTCTCATTCAGTTCTGGAGTAAAGTAATTCTTCCATCCACTGACGACTCCCTTCCGGAGAAGCAAGGAACTCTCTTCGTTCCGAATCCTATAACTGATATCATATTTCTTCATGTTCTTGAATGTACATTGCTCTGCAATACGATTGATGAGTTCATCGGATAGTGGCTTATTAAAAAAATTAGCAATCATTCGTACGTGGAGCAGTAGATCCTAGGAGGAACTGAAATTTTCAATTTTGATTTTAAACAACTAATTATCCTCTCCCCTTATGAAGCTTTTCAGGGATCATAAAACAAATAATTCAAAGGAAACATTAGTCATAAATGTTGCTCCTCACAAAACATTGCCAGCAGCAAGGAGCGAAGAGAAATGGCTGTTTTTGCAGGCTAATTTCCCCCTACAAATTTCATATACCAAGAAACTTGAAATTTCAGCAAAAGCCCTGCCATGTTCAAATGACTTCCTGGCCTATGTCAGCAAACTTTCCAGAACTAAATCTTTTTCTAAAATTCAGTAGGTAACCACTGAGAGTATTAATAACGAAGGTTAACAAAATAACCAACCTGGCAACTTGCGATCTCTTTCCTGTGGCCATGATGTCCTTCACTTCAGCTACTCCTCTATTGTTGGAGCCACTTTTGAATAGCTCAAGATCTGCCCCAACCCTGTTTAAGACAAATCTTTGTTATTCTCTTCTGTCTGAAAAACAAAATAACAAATTGAAGATTAAGCAAAGCTACATATAAGTGTACATGATAATTTTAAAGTTCCAAGGTATTTTTAAATACAGTTGAACCTCTCCACAATGGTCACCTTGGGGACAGAACAAAGTGGTTGTTGTAGAGAGGTGAGATCTTTTGTAATTTGGGCACCTCATAGCCGAGTATTGTACTCTGTAGAGATATCAGTCAAATATGGCAACCACGCAAACGCCACAGCAGCAGTCCCTTTCCACTTTAATCAACCTGGCCACTCGATCGCAGACATGGAACTTATTCTGCTGGAATAACCCACCCTCGGCATATCACGCCGTACAGGAAGAGAAGTGACCTCATGGATAGAGGCAAAACCCTGTCACCAGACCGTCTGAACGGCAGAAATGAAAGTTGAACTGTTTCTATTTCTATTTTTATTGTATGATCATCTACCTGTATATTATTCTATCTAGTATTTATAATTGTAGTTAATTATTAACCACTTTATGTGAATTTTAAATTCCAGTTTTAGGAGCTGGTAAAAGATATTTTCTCTTGGTATGGTTCTGGCCCTGAGGAAGGCTAATTTTGTTAGCCGAAATATTGACCTATAATAAATCAGCCCATTGCCGTAGTGCCTAGCCCTGCGTTGAGTTTTGCGGATATGCAGTTATCCCTTTTATGCACTTTTCTACCTTCAGTGGCTTTAAGAACGACAAATAGACATACTGTATGCTTTTTATGCTGTCTTAAGTGTACATCAAAGTGGATACGTGGATATGCAGTGACTATCATTTAAAAGATATTTACTACGTGGATACACAGATACACAGACAGGTATGTAGTGACTGAGTATCCCCGTATCTACCTATTTTTGGGGGTTGCTTTAAAGTGGCAGGGTATTCTGCAGTTACGCCATCACAAATTTCTGATGATTGAAGCTGCACATGGTAGAAATGATGTCATGTGTCGTACTATATGTTATGACGTCATCTATCATTTCTTCCCTATCAATTCTTAATATTTAAATACGTGGGGGGTTGAAAGCCCAGCATGCAGCTGTTGAAAAATTTAAATTCTTACATTAATAAAAGAATATTAGTCTCAACCACATTTCTATGATCTCAGAAGAGCCTTACCTTTAATTTAACCTCCGGGCCGACAGACTTTCTGTGCTGCTTTGTGTCAAAGCTTGTTTCCTGTTGTTGAAGTAGCAGATTTATTTTCACGTAAAGGAGCTAAACGACGACGAATAAGCCACCAGATGGTAAACTGTCTAAGCCACTGTGTTGAAGTTCAGTAGAAACGGTGAAATCACTGTAAAGTTCAGGTTTTGAATATGCACGTTTTCCAGGCGCCATCTTAGTTTATTCTCGGTCCCAGGTCCCACCATAGGTAACTCAGGCTCTAACCCTACGTGTTAAAACATGAGACATAAGGACATATGGAGCGAAAGTTAGGTCTGGAAATTTGTCAGAAAATGGAAATAAAAAAGAATAAAACTTACCATGTGGCGATTTAAAAACTTACCATGTGTTGTTGTCCTTAATATGCACACGAAGTTTCGGGAAAAATAGTCTCTTCTACGTAGGAAAGATGAAGGAGAGCATTTTTCCCGCAGCTACCGAACCGCCCCCCCCCCCTCGCTAAATCAAGGAAGGGGAAATGGCGCGTCTTGGCTTTTGCGCGGCTTCATCTTTGATTTGGAGGGATGGGCGTCTGCCGTTCCATTTTATATTCTGTCCAAGATTACAATTTTGGACAAAACAGATGAAAAATTTGTACCCTCCCCGCTCCCCTCCAAAATTGAGGATGAAAAAATGGGGCGTTTTGGCTTTTGCGCGGCTTCATCTTTGATTTGCGGGGATGGGAGTTTGCTGTTCCATTTTATTCTGTCCAAGATTGTGGCAACTAGCAACTCGAAACTTGTAACTAGCAAATCACAACTCGCAAAATACCTAGACTTTGAAAAAAGTCTTTCGTCCGATTCAGTGAGGTCGACTTATAGCAAGTCTACAAAATACCCAGTCCAGACAATAATAATTGATGTTCTAGCCAAAAATGGGACGTCTTTCTAGGCAATAAAAAAGGCCATTTTTTAAGTCCAAAAATTAGCTTTTTTCAAAGTTTTTCCGTATCTAATTTTTGTTTCAAATATGGGTAGAAAAAATAGTGACGACGTTCTGGAAAAAATCAAAGCTTTTTTTTACATTGTAATAATCGAAATTTTCCAAAGTGGTTAACCCATGGTTTTTGTCAAAAATTTAAAGTTTTTCCATTTTTTAAATGTTTAAAAATTGAATTTTTCCAAAGGGGTTAACCCATGATTTTTAACAAATTCAAAAGTTTTACCTTATGTTATTTTCGAAGAAAATAACTCCACAAATAATAATGATTGTTGTTCTACATAAAAAAGGCGTCTTTCTAGACAATAAAAAGGGCCATTCTTAAACTGGGGTCCAAAAAATCAGGCTTTTTCAAAGGGGTTAAACCATAATCTTGGTCAAAAATTTCAGTTTTTTCTTTATCTAGTTTCGGTGAAAAAAAGGCCAGAAAAAATGATTGATTTTATAGATAAAATAGACTATCTAGACTATAAACAGACCATCTTTCAAAACGCCAAAATCAGATTTTTTAAAGGGGCCCATAACCTTCCTAGACTACAATAAAGGCGATCTTTCAAAGTCCAAAAATCGGATTAATCCATAGTTTTGGTCAAAAAAATTCTTCTTTCTTTTTTAAGAAAAGACCAGAAATAATAATGATTGATGCTGGAGATAAAAAGAGACTCCTTTCTAGACTATAAAATGGACTTTGTTGAAAGTTCCAAAAATCACAGTTTTTTCTAAAGGGTTTCACCCATTATTTTTACCACAAATTTAAAGTTTTGTCTTCATCTAGTTTTGAGGAAAATAAGGCCCGAAATAACGATGATTGATGTTCTACGTAATAGAGACGTCTTTCTAGACTGTAAAAAAGACCATTTTTTTAAGTCCAAAAAATCAACATTTTTCAAAGGGGTTAACCCATGGTTTTTGTCAAACATTTCAGTTTTTCCTTATCTAATTTGGGTTTTAAATATGGGTAGAAATAATGCTGAATGATGTTCTGGAAAAAAACAAAGCTTTTTTATATCATAAAAATAATCATTTTTCAAGTCCCAAAAATCGAACTTTTCTGAGGGGTTAACCCATGATTTTGGGCAAAAAATTGAAAGGTTTTCATTTATCGTATTTTAAAGAAAACAAGGGCAGAAGTAATAATGATTGATGCTCTTGATTAAAAAAGGCGCCTTTCTAGACTATTAAGAAGGCCTTTTTCCAAAATGCTAAAAATCGGATTTTTAAAGGGTTAACCCATGATTTTCGTAAAAAAATTCAAGTTCTTTCTTTATCTAATTTTGAAGAAAATACAGCCGGAAATAATAATGATTGATGTTCTCGATAAACAAAAGACGGTCATTATCTGTCTTTAGATAAAAGATACAAAACAAGCTATTGTAGACTAGACCAATATTGATTTTATATAGTCGAGATATTGGATTTTAGCAGAGGGGCAACCCATCATTTTTATTAAATATCCAAAAATCTTGACATGCACACAAGAGAGGAAATATATGTTACAGTAAACACCCACATATAAGGACATGGTGATTAAAGAACTTACTGGCTGAGATTTGTCATTTAAATACCCAAAATCTAAGAACCTGTTCAGCTTGGAAAAGAAAAATAGGTTCTTATAGAAAACAAAATCACTCCAAGTTTGATGGTCAAAATTCCGGATGTTAATTGCGTGAGAAACTTCTGACAAAAAGTTTTCGTGTATATGGTTTCTTTGATTTAAATTTGTTTGGATTTTCACGAGAAATATGTTTTCTGTAAACCGTTATGTATTAATGGTACAATACTTCTACCAGCGGTTACTTTACGACAATCTCTGAAAAATAAGAACCTATTAAGAACCTAATAAGCCTGATTTGTAAAAAACTACCCTAAAATATAAGATCCTGTTCTGCCTGACCTCAAAAATTCCAGCTTCTTATATGCAGGTTTTTACTGTACACCAAGGAAGAAATCTTTTGGAGTCTCACGGTACAGCAATCAATAGAGTTTTTTTATTGAAAACAGCATTAAGTTATAATAAAATCCTAAACAAGAAAAAAAAGATGTGCTATTCTTTGTCCTTCTTTGGTGGCGGTCTGGAAAAAAGATTAAAAAAGAAAATGACAAATTAATAACAGGAACCCTTCGACAAAAACTTAGGCATCAATTTAGGTTTCTGAGAAACTGCCTACCTACCCCTCCCCTAAGCCAACATTTTGCCTTAAGTGAGAAGTAGGTGTTAATATTATCTTAGGGGAGGGGTAGGTGGGCAGTTTCCCAGAAACCTAAGTTTAACCAAACTTAGTTTTAGCTTAACAATTTCCTTGCTTAGGTGCCTATGCACTGAGAAAACCCTTCTCCATAATGAATAATAAACGGTATCCGCCCATCAGACAAGCAGGAAAAATTAATGGGAACCCCCAAGAGTTAGAGTCCCTCCCTTCTATAAGGAAAGTCGCTTTGTTGCCTCACTATTACAATCTATTTCTTTAGCTTTGACTGCGCTGTCACCACTATACACAGCACATGTATAAGCACAGTCTCTCCTCTCGTAGTTCAAGTTTTCTCAGTATTTCCAAGTGTTAAGAGATAAAAGATATAGACAAAATAAAATTTCAGTTTAGAAACACCCCCTTGATTACAGTGAAGAGACTTCCTTTCGTGTAAATAACACCTTATTTTGGTCTTATAATAATTACTGCATTGCTTCCAGCATTCAAGGACATAAGGTATTGACTGCTTCAAGTACAGTAAGTTTTAAGTATTTATCTATTGCTTCTTATTTCTAAAAAGGAATTACATGACAGAGACGCCTACACGCAAGCTATGTATCTAACGGTTACCTGTACACTCCAACAACAACAGCATGGTCTCTTTCATATGGTTCCAGTGTTAACTGTTCCTGAGGTTTCATTTTTTCAGCTTGCATTTTTTTTACTTCGCCAGCAAATACTGCAGCAGGTTCTGCTGTTGAATCGATGCAATTTGCCTAAAAATAAACATATCAAAATTTAAAGAGATAGATACTTCAAGCTTGATTGTACATCAAGTTAGTAAGGTTGTAAAGTGTTCATAGACTGTCAAACAATCAACCCCAGATTTGATGGAGAGATGCCAACCCCTGGAGATCGAAAATCTGGGAACAATTACCTTTGTAGAACCCCCCAACCTAAACCTTGCCTGAGTCGCAGACGCTCTAAACCTTCTGTATACGACTATACAAATGGTTAAGACAAGTGCATGGGCCAGCTGCAACACAGGCTACATCAACCACATCACATGGGTGTATTTCAGAACATTATATACACAGTCTTATCATGTATGATCGAAACCCTTTTCTGAATTTGGGAGGAAATGAGCTTTATTCTAAACTAAATCACAGAAAAGCTCAAAAATAAAATTTCTTTGGGAAATTTGGAACCCCTAGCAGGAGGTTGGAATAATAACTTTTTGCCATTTCTGGGATACTGCCAGATAATAGGGGAGAGTTGGCCTGGGCTTGATTGTGCAAAGGAGGCTTATATCTTGGGGGGGGGGGATCTTATTACAAACTGGGATCTTACTGTAGATACAAAGTACTTTACTGACCTTTATTGATATGACAAAATGACCTCCATTTTTAAGAAAATTGTGAGCATTAATGGCGACAATACGAGCCTGATCAGGCTGAGCCACATCAGCAAAAATGGTATCCACCATGCCTAAAAGGTAATGAGATTAAGAGATCCAGTTAATTTCAAATGGTTAACCATCAGCAACTCGTAGCTTGAAGATTCATAACGTGAATCGATGATGCACCAATTTGTTTGGAAGAAAAATGCAAACTTTGGTAAAGTCAATAACCACCATAAAAATATTCAAAAGCTGCAGATAATTCACTGCAGCCCCACACGCTAGCATTTCAATTCTAGCAATTAAAAAAGTCACATTTTGGATTGTTTTATAACAGCCAGGGGTGCAGCCAGCTTTTCGGCTATTTATAGGCCTGGCTGACTTTTATTTCCACATATCCTGAAAATTGCATGCACGACTAGTATGCACTGAACTCACCAACACCTTGAACTCTTCAGCTTTTTAGCTCACCCCAATGACATATAATTTGTTACAAGTGGTAGAATGATGCAACCAAAAATTTATAGACTGGGGCCTACAGGTCTATGGGCTGGCTGTGTCCTTGAAAGCGAATTGACTAAGGTTACAATCACATAGCGCCAGATGAATTTTCAACTGACTGAAAAATTTGACCGGACACTTCCCTCATATGGAACCCTTTAGTATCTTCACTTTTTTCACCTGGAACTTTGAACCACCAAGCAACTAAATTTTGGTTCCGTTAAGGCGGTCCTGTGTGAGCAGAACACCTAAATGCACAAATTTTCAACCTGTCGAGAATTTGTCCAGTGTTGTGTGAACATTGTCTTTCTCAATTCAGGTGATAAGTCAAAATGATATCGTTGTGTGTATCCCACAACTTAATACACTATGGGTGCTTACCCAGGGTGCAAAGAAAGTTAGCTTTACAGCCTGCCATTTGGGCAAGCTGTAGCTAGCATGTACTAGCCCACAAGTCATTTCAACTAGCCCCGTGGCTCATGGCGACCTACTTTTGCCTTTGGGCAACTACATTTCACAAAGCCACCACTAGTTGAAAAACTGACGTCTGAGCAACAATTGCAGAAATTACACACTGGTGACGTGTCACTTACTCAGATCTGGGTAGTGCTCCTGATTGGTTACACCAAAGAGAAATTTGCTTCAACCAATCGGAAGCACTATCCAGATCTGGGTAGTGATGCCAATCAGTATGGAATTTCTGCAGTCGTTGGTCACACGTCATTTCTGAATTCATGAGGAAACCAGCGGTGGCTGTTTTATCTCAGGCTAAGCTTTTCTTTCTTGAATAATCTTGTGAAGTTATCAACATTTTCTTTACTCACCAACCAGCATTCTGTATTTATGAGGATGTCTTGCATCTTCAATAATTGGTATAACGTTTGTTCTTTTCTTAGCTACATTAATGAGATCACGTCCCGATCTGTGAGAAAATTCAACTGCATACACAAGACCATCCTAGAAGATATAAAAAAGAAATATACATCATTTTGACTGATCTTCTCATTTCTGTTGGTTCAGTCTAAGAGCTAATCATGTCACATCAAGTTGCATCAATATTGTCAAATACACAAGCCACAAGGAGAAAAGAAATTAAAAATACAAACAGGTACACAATGCCTTAATACAGCTAGTTTTCAAGAAAATCAGTCAACTTGAAATGCGTACTTGAAGCCTACATTTTACTCATTTTGATCTCTTCAGTCCAGTGTATATCCTGGTCTCTGGCAGTATTCCAAACATTTCCACCATTCATTTGAATGGTATTTGACTCCTCAACACTTGTATGAGCAGGCAAATAATAAAAAAATATTTATTAAATATATACAGGTTTCACTGTATGTGTATGTTGAATGTCCACTTGTGTGTTGTTGTACATGTAGCATAAAGCAATTTATTCTTTCCAAGCCATAGTCAAAATTAACAAGGATGTTCACAGATGCTTAATGCTTGATTACTGTTGGCAACAGGGAACGAGTGAAAAGTCACTGAGCAGACACATCCACTAGCTAAAGGTTGCCAAGCATAGGAAAAGTTCTTTGAAATTTTTTTGAGTCCAAAATAATAAACCATCAGTCAGACAAAACTCAAATAAATCTTGGTTAAGTACACTTGTCTATCACTAACTGTTCAAGCTAGCTAGCAGGCACTCCACTCACACACGTTATCACAAATTTAATCTACAAGGAACAACCCATCTTTTATTACAGTAATGGGATGGATGTTGCCAGTTGACTGTTTATGGGTGTGGCAGAGAAGTTAAACTTGGGGCTTATGTGAAAAGCAGCTACTTCAGCTTAGTAGTGCTCAAAGGAGGATTCAAACCTGGGGTTTCAAGATTGGGAACCGAGCACGCTGATCTCTGGGCCACAAAGGCTGTGCTCTAAGAAAAATTGAAGGGAGACCAGTGCTCTGAACCTAGCTATGAAAACTACATTGTGTAGGGTGCCCACCATAGGATTAGTATGGAAAAGCTACAAATTCTTGTAGGACTTCTTCCACCAGCTTCAAGAGTTATTGCTCGTGCAACAGTTGGTGACTGCGCCTTCCTGGCAGCGGGACCAAAACTGTGGAACAGCTTGCCCTTAATATTCATAATGGGAAAATTTTTTATACCTTTAAAATGTTGCTTGAGACTTTTTTAAACTAGCTTTTTATCAGATCCAATAGATATTTTGTAAATTTTTGATCATGTACATTTAACTTTTATAGTTTTTTGTTAGTAATATGCTTTTATATGCGATGCACATTTGATCATATGCACATGTAATTTGCACAATATACACTGTAAGACAGTAATAAATTTATTATCATTTTTTTTTCTTATCCCCCAAGAGCGAAAGTAAGGCACCAGGGGCCACAGGGTGGTGCTAAGGCAGAGCCTTTTGACACACTACCCCCAAGTTAGTGTACAAACATTCATAAACTAAACAGAGTCATACTTGTATGACCTTGAAAAATGGTTTTGGTTTGTTTTATCAGCCGATGGATGAAAAGATCAAAACATGGACTCTTTGTTTTACCACCAAAGAAAAACCTAATATGGAGAAGGCATTGTTCAGTTGGCCAGTCGTATTGCAGTATGACATCAAAGGAAAGTATCAATTGATTTGTAGAAAGTTCTCAGGCATGAAGTTTCACCCGCATGTTCGCTTAACCAACCAATAGCCACGCATGTTCCATAAACCAATGAAACCGTTCTAATTCTGTTCCCTTGTTGTTTCTGTTTTGTTCGCGTGTTTTCATTTCAAGGTCATGTGAAAATCATTCTAAACTGCAGTTAAAATTAATTTTTGGCAATCATACAGTTGTACATTGTATGTCATACTTACAGGTCCAACAACGTCAGAGACATGAGACACTGTTGTTCCTGATGCCGCTCCAAGGTACAATACTTTGGAACCAGGAGGCATGTGAATTTTGTCAATTCCACCAAGAATGGCAGCCGCAAGCTTTGAACGGAAAGGATTCCAAACTCTGTATTCAATTTTTTCAGCATCCGCTGCACCCTACAAAATCAAGATAAAGAGCAACTTATGTCTTTTCAATCCTAAAACTGAATGATACCCATATACAATGGATCCCCGCCTTATTGGCCACCTCAGTAATACGGTCACCTCGTTATTACGGCCACTTTTTTTGCCGCCCGGCAAAACGGCCATACATTTTCTTGTTAGAAAATAGCTTGTTAATACGATCAGCCGTTGATATGGCCAAATCTTTTTGGCCCATTGGTGACCATATTAACAGGGTTCTACTGTAATAGTTACAAAGCAATAGTGTATGTCTAGTTTCAAAGCCATTGTTAACTTCCCTGGTAAAACGGTTTTACTTGGTGAAGGTTGTGCTGGAAATCTCCTTATGTATGCTGTGGTACTTACAAAAACTCTCCAGTGTGCCTGATAGCCCTGAGCTAGTGGATTTTGTAGTCAGGCAAGTGAATTCTGTTGTTAACTTGCCCGACTAGAAATTGACGTTTCTTGGGGAATTCAAATAGCAGAAGAACTGTAACCAATCCTGTTCATCAAAAAAATGTTTGAAACGACTTCTGGGCTAGTGCAAACTGGCTACAGCTTGTCCAAATGGCAAGCTGTAAACCTGACTTTCTTTGCACCCTGCTCTCTCTCCGTCTTGCTAGACGCCAAGGGTTTTGTACAGTACATGCACACTGAATAATTTAAAGGCACAAAATATAATGTGGTGCAAAATGTGAAGTCGGAAAGATATTGTATCCTAGAAGTTTTTACTTTATCAATATAATATAATTATTCTTACGTCAACTGATATCCTTTTTTCACCATACACAGACTCTCCAGGTACTATATTCTTTGTGACCAATGCATCTTCCTTCCCACGCGCAATAAACACTCCTAAAGGAAAATATCAAACATGAGAAAGGGGTGTAAGTGACTTTTTGAATTTCACAAGTGTATTAGTACCTGCCCTGCCATGACAATGTATTCTCATAAGCAAAAATATCATATTGCTGTGTTTGAAATTTTTGCATATAACTATTAATAAATTTTAAATCAAATGAAATTTTCTTTAGTTGTATAAATTATTAGGAAATACAAGGCAGGTCTAAAAATACATGTTTACAAAGAAGCAACATGAAGAAACTACGCTGATGAACAACTGTTATTACTATCACAGCAAAAGAAAGCTTATTAGCAATTGTGAGATCACCACAACTAAAAACAACTTGCGCTGTTTCTCTTTTAACAACCCATGTATCATGGTACTTGCCTTCATGCCGATGTGGTTCAATTGTAACTTTGAATCCTCCTTTAAATCCTCCACGTCCACCACCGCCTAGTTATACAAATACAAAAAAACTTAGCACCATAGTACCTACAATATGTACTTATGATAAACAAAATGCATTGACAATACGAGTAAAAATGCATGCTTTTGAAGTAAAAATATGCAATTTCAAATTTTAATTGAAAAACACTATGCATGGTAGATATTGCTCCTAAGCTGCAAGGCTTTCTTGGTTCAAGCACGTGCAGAATACAACATGTACTACCCATCAACTATTCTCCTTTCCATTTTTTATCTCCCTTCCCCATCCTTTTTCCCCATAACCAATCGTACATCTATGTACAAAAGGACCCTCTTGGGGTAAACACTCTCTACATTTCAGTGATTTGGCCCTTGGACTGTTTCAATTAGGCTTTTGTACATTATGCTTTTGCTTCCCTACTAAAATGCTCCACCTTAATGCTTCATTTTTCCCACTAAACTGCTCGGTCTCCCCAAAAAAGTCACTAAAATGCTCGGATAATGCTCATTATACAAACGGTTTTTTTATTTAATTTCAAAGTTTACACTTACAAAAACGTGCAAGTGTTGCAAGTAACAACGACAACGTGTACAAGTTCATAATACAGCCAAAAAAACCAGCTGTATTAGGTTTTTTGTGAATTTTGAATTTTAGTCTTCACTTTGTTTAAAAAAGCAGGAGCTCATGGGGCACGGGCTCCTGAAAAAAGTTAATTTCTATTTTATTTTCTCGGAAAAATTAATTTTCCGGGGAAAATGCCACTAAAATGCTCGAATAATGCTCAATGCTTTTGCCTCACTAAAATGCTCGAAAAAATGCTAGCATAATGTACAAAAGCCTAGTTTCAATGCTTTTCACATGAATTAGTTGTAACTTTCCTTTCGAGTGGATTTTAGCAGTAGCTTGCATCAAATCTACTGGACTTTTTAACTGTAAAATTCCAGTTTTTGTCATCTGTGGAGCAAGGAATTGCACTGAGCATGATTCTCTTCACCTGACTATCGAAATGGATCAAAACTTGCAATTCTGAAGATAAATGTCAGGGCAAAGGAAAACAAATTTGTCTGACTACTGATGGCGATTGCCTCCATAGTATGGAGCAACTTTCGAAGTCGAGTGCCCTCTGAGAGTTGGAAACTAGTTGCAAACTATTTGGTAAAATATTAACAATAAAACCTGATTCAAATTTTATTGCCGTATTTAGAAGAGTATTCCATGATGAACATTTTGATGTACAGTTAATGACCCTAGAATTTATTGCATAGAAGTTGTGAACATATTTTCACAAGGCAGTGGTAGTGAAAAAAATTTCCCCAAAATTTGCCGGTTGAAGGGTTAATTGTTGCCTGACTTTCAGCAGTCTCCTCAAGTTGCAAACTCCCCAAAGAAATTTCCAAATTGATGAGCCGCTTACGGGGGATCTGTTAGCTTGAGAAAAAAGCCCCTGTTTTGCAACGCCACTGGTGGTTTCCTAGTGAAATGACATCTGAGGACATAAATTCCTTACTGATGATGCATCACTACTCAGATCTGGATAGTGCTTCTGATTGGTTGGAAATTTGCTTCATCCAATCAAAAGCACTACCAAGACCTGGGTAGTGATGTATCATAAGTGTGGAATTTGTACACTCATTTCTCAGACATCATTTCACAGGGAAACCATTGGTGGCGTGCGAAATTCTGGCCATTTTCTCACGCTAGCTATCTGTCAGCTGCTTGCGACTCAAGCAGACAGTTGAAAATCGCGCCACTTTGGCTAAGCATTTACAATGTACTTGGCTTGATATCTGAAGGAAAAGTTTTTGCAAAATGACAAAGACCTTAACATCATTAAAAGCAAGCACAAGTGCATAATGTGACAAGAATCTCATTTGTTTTCTCTGACCTCATCTGTCTGATCATTTGAGTACAGTTTAACAGTCATATTCCCCAGTAAAAGTTAAATATTAAGGCTATCTTTTGTGTGTGACACCTGAAATTGTACATGTAAGGTCAACACTGCAAGTTTTGGTACAAAAATAATAGTTTTCCAGGCTGTTTACAGGCAGTTGAACTGTGAATGGATTAACTCAGGCTAAGAAGTTTGTTTGCAGACAAGTCAGCTTCAATAAAATGAAAGATCTCATTCTCCATCATAAGGTTTGAAATGAGACAGGCACATGTAGAACATGTACAGGCTATAGTACAGTGTAATGTTTTCTTCGTTCCGTGACAATCCCTTTTACATCCAATGCAGGTCAAGTGTACCCCCCCCACCAAGATTCCATTAATGAATTTATTATTTGAAAGTTGAAGCCCTGCCACACCTATTGGAACATTTTTTAAAAGAGTTTTTTCACTCAGTTTTTAAAAAAATACCTGTGCACATGAAGCACATTCAAATCATTTTTGCACATCTATATGAACACTAAACATGGGAATACGATACCATCCCTCACATCTAGCATGGGTTTTGCTAGTAGTAAATGATGTACAAATGTATGACATCATTGCATTAGAAAACCTCTGTTTTCGTCCGTCAACACGTACACAAAAAGCTCGCGTTCTCAAAAATCTTCACTCTGGAGAGCGTTTTTGAAAAGGTGCATTTTCAGTGACCAAATGTGTTTGGACAGTAGGCAAAACCGGAGAAAAAATCTCGGTTTTCAAACAAGACATATGTTTGGACGGAGCCTGAATCTGTTGGTAGTTGTACATGTAGAATTCCGATGCATTCCTGCATGCATAAAGAGCAGTGAATTCACACGCAAGGCAGTTATGAAATTTCTACCAGCTCGGGTTTTCTTGAATTTGATGTAAACGTTTTCAAAGATTTTTCAATATGAATGAATACAGAGAAGTCATTGTGAAAAATTCACTTCTCATTACACATGCTGGAATGCAAATTTGAATTGGTTGTTGCAACGACTAACGAATTCATTTTTCAAATAATTTTCATTAATGGAATCTTGGGGGTTATGCTTGACCATGGCGTGACTGTAATGTTGATCACCAAGTTTTGACTGATTACTGATGGCTCTGACATCAAGCAATGACATTAGGAATCTAACAATCCAACAACAGTGGCACCGCTGCCATTGTTACTAAAAAAAGATTTCATATCCTTTCAAACTTTTTTTGCGATCATTCTGAGTCACCCAGTTACTTAAAGGAAGGTTAATTTGGTAGGAGCTGAAGAGAGGAGACTGTGTCAGAGTTCAGACAGAGAGAGTAAAATTTATTGCCTTGCCATTCCCGCTCTCAAATTTGGTCATTTCACATTGTAGTTGTGCTGGGGCAGCAAAGAAATTTACAAAAAAAGCGTAATGCGCGTGCAGAGTTGTTGTTTTCATTGCTAAACCTATTGCTTTTTTGTTCTTCTTAATGCTATTGCCATCATAGTTTCATAAGGTCCTGATTAACTGACTGACTGTGCTGAGACCATCAACATCTCTTGCTACTACTACATATACTGACAGTAATAATGCTATGCAACAGTAAGGGTTCAAAATAGAAGTAACGCTATGTTGACACTATAACAGGTGGCTTTTGCGCTGGCATGAAAATCAGACCGGATAGGGCTTCTAATCACCCATAAGAAGAGTGATTTCAGCACAAATTCTGAAACAGAGCGAAGCTGCACTGGGTTGACCTTGAAAGTGGAGTGTCATATATCAGATAAATGTAAGTTCTGTTGCCACACTCTCGTGTAGCCTGAACAAGTATTCAGACTGTGGTGGAAGTAAATAAGTAGGAAGAGAACTGGCACCCGCTGAGACAGAATAAAATATTCAAGAGTGAGGATTAAGATTTAGAGAATCAAACCCTTTGGGCCAATCACTTCAGCCTGATCTTCGAAGGGTGTGAACCACTTGTTCCAGTTCTCTGCCATTGCTGTTCATACTATATACCGGATAACTTTCTGTGTCAGCATTAAAAACTATCCAGTGTAGAGTGAGCATAGCCTACACCATGTAAGTTGTGATCAATACTAAAGGGCTTTTGTAAGATGAACACGAGGGCGGATTTAGGGGTGGGCCGAGGGGGCCATGGCCACCCCGTTTTGTTTGAAATTTTGTATTATCTTTATAGAATTCTAAGAAAAATTATAAGAAGTATCTATAGAGCTGGCAAGTGGGCAAGTGTCCCAGCCATCCCTTTCTGAATTTTCTGGATCCGCCCCTGGAACATAAGTTATTTAAACAAAGTACTTAGTCTGCCTCTGGCTTAAAAAATGGTAATAATGGAGAAACCTACCTCGACCTCCTCCTCGTCCACCGCCTCTTCCACCTCTGCCAAATCCGCCGCCTCTACCTCCACCACCACCTCTGCCAAATCCACCACCTCTACCTCCACCACCTCCACGGAAGCCACCTGTTGACAGTGTACATAACAAATCATTAGTTTTTTAGTCCAAAGACTGAACACCAAAAGTTAAAATTAATGATGTGCTCGTATTTAAACACACAGCATGAAGTTTACCTGAAGTGTACTTACCAAAGGGAAAAATAAATAATATTATTTTATCAATTATTTTTAGAGCAGGCAGGGTTAGTTTGGTTGGTGCACTAAGCAAGTGGTCGCGGGTTCAATCCTCAGTTGATGTATAACTAGGTCTTAACACTTTTTAAAAGTCTCAATAGGCATACAAAATAGGATGACACTGAGTAACTGCACGATTTGCAAACCATCAGGAAAAAAACCATTCATGTGCAAGACGTTATGAAGTTCTGTCATGCTCTGCTGACAAGGTTATGACGATCCCACTGGGTGTGCGCTGTCAAGGGCTATCCACCTGTATACTATCAGTAAGGGAACTTCTAAACCAAAAAAGCGAGGACCTAGTGATGCCACGGACTGCATCACCCCCAAGTCATTTCACCCTGGTAACTTGGCCACCTAGCTAAGTAACCTTTAACATCGCTTAAAAAACACGATATATTACATATTTAGATGACTCGAAAATAAGGTGCTAAGTAACTGGCACGAAAAAGACTTGGGTGTAAAGTGAATGGTTAGCGATGTACAAGGCCAAATTAAATTAAATAATGGAGATGTTTTGAGAATTTGTATGTGGACATTGGGACTTAACGGATTAAGTGAGGAGGTGAAAAGGAGGCTCTGCCTGAATCGCATCAAGCCTTTGAAGTTACCGCAGCCCGAACTTCTGGACTAGTCAAGCTTGTTTTCTCGTGTCAAACTGTTTTTTTTTGAGCACGAGCATCCTTTCATTCATAAACTAATGATCATAACTGAGCTCGCTGTACCAAGTTCACGGCTATTAGACCTGGGTTCGAACTGCATCCTAGCAACATGCAGTGAAAGCTCAACCAAGATCTTACTCAATTCATGCAGAGTCTTTCTTGAGTAAAGAAAGACTCTGCTAGCAGGGGTGCTCCACAACCTTCAACAAAATTTTATGTAGTGAGAATGCTGAGACACATGCTGTGGATGTTTGACTTAGCCTTGATAAAATCTTTCTTGTTGTTTACGAATTTCACCATACTCTATCCCAGATATTTCATATCTATCAGGAAATCGTGCGTGTAATCAAAGGAATAGTAAGCTCATGTTTCCTCGATCTTCAGCCTTCCAGAATCTGGAGTTGCATTGAGAACAAGTTTTTTGTTTATGGAGATCCAAAATTCACTGCAAGTTTAGATCGTTGAAACGTGATCCCCGCATGTCATTGCAATACTTATTCGTTAAAATGCACGCTTTGGAGCACAAGAAACAAGAGAGCCAAGATCATTTCGCCATCACTTCTTCAGGTCACGTTGTAAACAACATGGTAAGCTGCTACAAACCTCGTCCTCCACCGCCTCTGCCGCCGCCACCTCGTCCACCACCTCGCGGAGAGAAACCTGAAAATGCGTTTTTATAATCAGCAAGGGAACAAGGTATTCAAATCATAGCGTCGAGGTAAAAGAAGCTCGAGAATTACCTGGTCTACCCATCGTAAACTTGGTGAAACAAAACCTAAAACGCACACGCACGTGGTACAAATGCTTGCTATACACTACTACGCATGCTCGACTACGCACTGCATTGTGGGTAGTTTCTTCGCCGGTGAAGATTCAAGATGGCGCAGAAGTTGGTGAATTTTGGGCAAAGAATCGCTGTCGCAACACCTCGTGTGGCCACTAGATGGGGATTTCAAGCGCTTGGTAAGACACTTTCTGAGTCGCCGATAGTTTTGTGGTCATTTTGTTCCGTTTAGCTTCCTCGTATGGCGCGTTTTGTACGTAGTATTGTTTGAAAGACTAGCGGTCCAGCAAATATTAAACACCGTTTACACGCTCTCATTCTTTAATTACCAAAGTCTACCCAGATTTAAGAGTAAATTTCCCATAAAACAAGAACACATAACAACATGCTGCGCTGTTTTTTTAATGGAAGTTGTCATCAGTGATCACAAACGAGAATTGGCAAATATAATTCCTATTTCACACCCCTCTGATGTAATTAATGATCTCCGATAAGACTGTTTTTGCTACCGTGTATACTTCATGCTGGTTTCTGTTTAACAGATTTCATTCCGCTGAATTTTGAGATCACAGTTGTTGTCAAAATGGCAGTGGAGCATTATAATATGTCATCTGGGGTGCCTATATTGTCTATTTTGAAATTTTAATATGTAAACAGGGATGCCTGTTTTGTCTGTTTTCGGTAAAATGTCTATTTGATGAAGCATGTGTTTCTCAGGAATTTCTTGTCCCGTTACTCATACATGTATAAGTCCAAGGGCATTTATTTAAAACTTGAGTGGAATGTTATGGTAGTTTATATGAAGAAAGACATCACTGTATTGGTCTTTCTTCATAATCAGTACATTTTCTGCAAGTGGGAATACTTGAAAGGTAAAAAAAATGCTTACCTGTATTATTTTAAATTAAATCCCCAATTTCTCTTCCAGGCTTGGCGAAGAAAGCACAGCCTCATGCTACCAAATTTTGGAACAATGCGAAAGTCGAGATGGCACCACCAAAGATGTCAGATTGGCCTGCCATCAAGAAGAGCTTTATGGGGCTGAAAGATGTGGCCCTAGCTGGAAAGTTTATGGATGTAACTGTAAAACAGGCTTGTGTCAATACTCTGGTAGCTGCTGAAATTGCCTTCTGGTTTTATGTCGGGGAAATCATTGGAAGAAGAAGTCTGATTGGTTACAATGTGTGAAAAACATTCAGCATGCACTTATAATCTGTTTTGTTATTCCACAACTGAGTTTGTTGAAAAGCCTATCATTGTTTGTGTAAAAAAATGGGATTGTGTTCAAGTACCCTATTAGGGTGAATAAACATTCAGACTGGTTTTGTGTCTGTTTGTCAAATTTCAATGTAATGTTTGCCTCTCCCATTGTCCCCTGTGCGCTTTCTGTTTTCCTCTCCCTAGTCTCTCTAGCTTCTCGTGTACTTGGTAATCCAAGACGGTTTTGGATTCTGGATTCCACACTATGGACTTGAAATTCCTTATCAGTGGAACATGGATTCCAGATTTCAATATTTATAACGGGATTCTGGAATCAATAAGCAAAATTTTTCCTGTATTCCATAATGTGGGGCGAAAAAGGCCTCTCTGGCAAAGAGAGGGCTAGAAAAGTCACTAAGGGTTCAGATTCTCTTACTGCTAGGTAAGCAGTCCATTTTTCCACAATCTAAGACTTCAAAATTGACGTTTAATTTACATCAGTCCGCATATTTCAAGATAAAGCAAGAAATCAACAATAAAACTTTATTTATTGATATATAACTAATTTACTAGCTGAAAACTGTTGACATCTCAGCTTTAGAGGCTTTGTTCATTTTTATCAGGCATTTATGAAGTTCAAGTTAAGCCAGTAGGCATATTTTAGGACCATATTTTCATATCCGTTATCAACATCCTCAAGTCTGACCTAAGCCACAAATAGTCTTGTGGCCATGCTTCTTCTCATTCTCACTCAAACTGTGAAGCTTGCCATCGCTGTTTACGTAGCTTTAGTTCAAAACATCACCGTACAGCTGTTACACAGCTCAGAGCATGGTTTCTTCTGTATTGCGGGAAGATGTTCTTGAACCTTGAACCGTCTACAACAGAGACAAAAGCAGAGGACAGTTTGAACTTTACATTTGCTAACAACAAAAAGGTTTCTGGGCCCTCCCCCCCCACCCCCTTTTCTGTGCCGTCGCGTAAAGTTGTTTCTGGAACATCGTTTATAAGCTCGCTGATAAAAAAAGGGTAACAGCGTTTTTAGTAAGCTCCCAATACTCAAGACATGGTAAGTAGTATTTTTTATAGTTAAGTACTTAAGACCTTTTATAGACTAGATAGCCTGTTCAAAGCCTCAGATAGTGGAATGCGGTGCGAAGTCAAAGAGCAGAAAAAACTAAGTAGAATAAAAGCGAGAGACGAGCGGGTTCCTTTTCTCTCACCCACAACCCCACCCCTCCCTCGCTGTTTTTCCTACTCACATCTCGTTAGGCCGTCCCCACAATCTCATGAACAGCCGGTACAGGTTATAGGCCAGAAAATGATTTAGTTACCTCGTAAGAATTGTTTCTATCTCCTCCGCCCGGACCATACAGACTAGATACTGATGGTCTTTGAGGTTTAACATAATAAGGATTGGAAAACAAACTCTCCAGCTGAAAACAAAGTAGCAAAGAAAAACAGAGAACTCGTATCAAAGTTTCTTCTTATCATAATCAAAGGCTATGTTCATGGCTTTACCCCATGTCACGATGATGACGTCATTTTACTACTAGCGGGTTTAGCCAAAACTTCTGCAGGAATGCAGCCTAGCAAAAGCCTAACCAAAAGGGCAAAAAAGAGGAAGAGAAGCAAGAAAAACTGGGAGCGGGGAAAAAGCGCTTTTTTGCTCTTGAAATGAAAGCGAACGTTAAACAAAGTTTCTGGTATATCATTTGCTTTTCTAGTTTGATCATATACCTTTACAGCGAACGTTAATCACGCGGTTACCATTTTGCATAAAAACAAAACATTCTGCATCTTTAGCTTTGCAATGAAAAACTTGAGAACGACTCAAGAGTTTTCAATCCAAAGTTTTTCATTCTCCGGTGATTTATTCTGGACGCCGCGTGAAAAGGGTTCAAGTGACCAGAAACGGTTACGGTGTGGTTTGGCAAAATGAGTTGGGTCTAAACAGCAAGCATTGCTTCGCATTCAAATCCTAGTGTGCAGTTCTGGAAACACATTGACGAGAGTAACCAAGTAATTCTTCTTAGCGTTTCATGCCACTGAAACTGGGTCAATATACGATCGGCTTGAACGCTGGACTTATTCATGTGTTTCACCTTGATTATTACAAATGTTATTTCCTGTATGTGCGTCTGAGATTCTGGAAAAACACCATAAATTTAGGTTAATTACCCAACGGCCTTTAGCCATACCTCATTCAAAGGCGTGCTTTGCGTTGCTCGTGAAGTCCGTCTTGGTTTTTTCTCTGAAGATCCAGTAGAATGGGAGGACTGGACACTAAGTTTGCGATCATCTGATTTGCTGTCCACGTGAGTGGAGTAATGTTTTTGTGCAGGTTTATGCAGGTCAAAACCAGGGATTGCAGGCTCGCTGCGTGATTTTCCAGCTCTTTGATGTACCTGAATGTCAAATTAAGGTCATGTTACACGAGACGATTTGCAACGACTATTTTAAGCGCAACACAGCGTTGCAATGTTGGAACAATGTTGCAACCATTCGATGCAATGTAACAACAATGTGGTAACGCTGTGGTGCGCTGAAAATTGTCATTGCGAAACGTCCCGTGAAACATCACCTTTAAACAACCACAGTACACAATCATAATTTGAACTAAAGAAACTAAGATTGAAACGTTACTAACGGCCATCTTTTCTGTCCCGGTGGACAGTCCATGCATTCACTCTTCTGCTAACCTGTTATGACCAGGGCTCCACATCGGAAACGTCTTTACGTCTTGACCATTTCAGACAGAACGATATACGTACTGATGTACGACAGGCTCTCCTGTGTCCGCACTGTACCTTTATTTGTAGTCAACTTCTTTTATTGATACTTTTGTCCTGAACCTTTTTTGGTGTCCGCCTGGATATGGTTCAGATTGTGCTATGCATTGGTTAATAGCCTGTTCCAGGCTCTCAGATAGTGAGGAAGACGCGAAAGTGAAAGGTGCTCGAAAAGTTGGCGGGACAGGAAAAAGGAAAAAGGTTCTTCCCGTTTTAGTTCGTGTTCGCGAACCCGACTATCTCGAAGCCTGAAACAGGCTAATTGGTGTACAGCCCAGGGAAGCTTGGCTGTACTTGGTCAATTTTTGCTGTATGTGCCGTCGACCTTTCAGTGTCCCTACCCCATTATAGTCTATTCTTGAGTCAATTATGGACCCCATCTTGGTCATTTCTGGACAAATGTAATTTTGCGATCCCAACTTACAGTTAGTCACTTTCTGTTTATGCTTTTACCTTATACAGCCTTTTAACTGGGTCATCCTAAAATGAATTGACACACTGATTTGGTAAAACGAATTTAGTAAAAGTCTCTCGTTTTTAAATCCCTACTTACCAAAATTTTCTTACCCCAAAAATCCCGAGAATGAGCGACCCCATTTTAGTAACTCTATGAAAAATGCAACCCCATTATAGTCAATCCAGTCGTGAAAATGCGACCCCATCCAGCGGCACAACCTCATTAGCCTATTAGTAGGAGGTAACCCCCCTCCCGGGTATACAGAACTATTAACGTTGTCGGAAAGCCTACTTTCAGGGGCACCCAACGAGAATATAATTCAAAACCACTTAAACATAGCATTGTCAAACGTATTTTAGTATTTACACGGTAGATATAGGCATATTTTTATCCCCTAAAAATTTTTCATCTGTTCGAATTTCCTAGCTGAAAGTCTAGTGACTCGAAAATTATAGGGATCAAACCTTACCTTTTGGAAAATTTCAGCCGGAAAAAAGGCTCCCGAAAATTGTAGGTGACCTTTTTAGGGTAAACATCCGTTAAAAATAGATGTTCGAAAATCCTAGGAGAGGCAGACTAACAAGAAATTTTGCAAAAAATGTTCTGAAAATTCTAGATCTCAAATCGTCTTCCGAAAGATATTTTCCGAAAATTGTCGTTGGGTGCCCCTGTACGTTATGAGGTCACTTAGCAATACGGTTTTCTTCAGAAAAAAAAAATTATCAACATCAGTTGTGAAGCAACTGTTCCGTTATAAATTAAATCGCAAAGAAAAGCCTTTGTTATTTCATACGATTCTATAGCCGTTTTACAACCGCCAAGTTGTGACCCAACAACAAAGGGTTTACAGCTTCCACATGAACATGCCGTCGTGAGGCGTAGGATTGAGCCCTTAGTAAAATTCAACAACTTTAATATTATTAAAGCAGCTGTATATGCAACATTAACCAGAAGGACGTAAATCTCCGTATTTTCACTGGAGTAACTGGAAAAGCGATATCATACTTACTCTCAAGTTTTCAGCTGGATGAGAAGGGGGATAGTTTTCAGTTCTGTCGTCAGCAAGCGGCTTGTAGTTTGATAAGCTGGTTGGAGTCGCTGATCTTCTATCTATTCCCTCCACCTTGTAGGAAAAAATGGAGAAGAATGTCACAGATGTGACGCCCCGATATAACAACACGTAATCTGCTGCCTTTTTCATGGTTAGCGCAGTGATCAGTATTCAGTGCCTGCTGCCTGCCAAGCGGCCGGAAGGTCACGGGTTTGAAACCTGGCCGGGTAATAATCGTGAGGTAAGACCCGGCGGTGCAGATGATCCCGCCATTACGCGGTGACTTTAGGCCGTGGGCCATATCTTTGGCATCCCTCCTTATCACTTGGAAACTAAATAGGGTCAGATAAAAGCTGTACTGAGCAGTATTTTCCTGTCGCGCTATTTATTATGAAGTGCAAGGTGGCTCTAACTTTTAAGGTGGTAAAAATGGATTTCATATTCAAAAAAATCTAAGTCGACCATAGTGAATATTCTCAAATGGATTGGGTTGCTGCGGAAACTCTTAAGTTACCTCTTTGGCCCTTTTGCTCACAAGCTGATCAGGTGGCGTGCTCTGTCGTTTTGGTTGCTTCACTTCAAATTCAGATATGTGCGGCTCGGGTGTCCCTGGAAGACTGGGATAAGCATCGTGATCAGGTTTGGATGGGGCTCTCTCCATCGCTGCCTCCTCCTCCACTGGTGGCGATTCCCTCTTTGACTCAACTGTAACCTCTAGTGGCTGAGGCTCTGCTTTTGGTGCAGTGAGTGGGGAAACAGCCGAGTTTTCGTCCTAACGGGAATGAAAGAGTAAACTATAATCTCTGGTGCCACAGACAGCTTAGAGCGAGCACACATTAATACTCTTCTCCTGAGCATGAGTTGTTTGGAGGAAGGAGAATTCTAACGGCCAGAAAGCTCAGAAAAATTCCGAGCTCCAGGTGGCCCTCCGAGTTCTAGATCGGATGATCTAACTACTGAGCTACTGGAGGCTCTATGGCGAGCAGGATCGAAATTTAATAACTACATCAGTCAAAGTACGAGAGCTGATCTGGTATCATATAAATGTAATCAATTAACCCAGACTGACACGTCGAAGGATCAACTCTCGTGGCTAAGTGGGATTATTCGACAACTCCTTTTTGCTGTAGAATCCTGAATCCTAGGTTTTGGAATGCGGAATACAACTCAGGAATCCGGAATCCCACTAACGATTAAGATCCGGAATCCACGTTCCACTGAAAGAAAATCCGTTTCCCAGTACCTGGAATCCGGAATCCAGAATCCAAGGCTGTCTTGGATTCTTTTACAAGGGGTGAAACCAGAATCCCTTTTACCATAGACCGCCATTAAAAGTTTTCTTGTCAAATCAGTGAGCACGCTATGTGAGTAAATGTTAAGAAGGTTCTTGCGGTTCTGTGCCTCAGCGCCTTTCATCAGCTTGGTTCGTTCCTAATGCATTACCATGATACCATGGACCCTTTTAAACCCTTTCTTAAACCTGTCTCAGATGAAATTGCTTATTTCTGGCCGTTATAAATCTCTTTGCAAGAACTTCACTACTTTCTTAATCCTTTTCCCGTAGACTCCGTATTTCTGTGCGCCCTATTTTTGCAGTTAGTTTTTGAAAATTCATTGTATGTGGAAGTGAGAATTCGGATTGAGGTTCGTGTTTGAGCCTTTGCGTCGTGCAGTTTCCTTAGACAATAATTTTTCCTCCACTACGTCTTTCGTCTTCAATTAGCTCGTTAACCTGTGTTCTTTAGCATAATTCCCTCTTTCTGGTATGTAGGCGTGTATCTCACCTGGTTACTACTGCTCTGTGCTCTTACTGAAATCAATGGGATGTTGTCCTGGGCGTGGCTCCTGGTGCTTATCTTTCTGCGAGATCCTGTCTAAAAAGGCCATAGAAACGTGAGGTCTAATAGCAGTGTGCGACGATCATGCGCACTTACTCTTTTTACCTTTTGTTTGCATACGATCAACTACTTGAGTACGCACCACCCCGGTCCATATCCATTCCCAGGGAAAAGGCGAGTCGTGTTTCGGGACTACCCGCGGACTCCGTAGATTCTGCATACCCTGCGACTGGGGCCTGTTTCAAGCTCCAAGTTAGCTGCGAGAACTGGAGAATGAATCCCCAGCTCTCCCTTCTTGGTCGAGTAGCCCCGGGATTCTCTCTGGGACGGACACAGTATTAACCGGTATTAAATGTCCGTCTTACAGGAATATTCGCCTTATAGAAAATACAAAAAAGGCTACGGTGTAACTAAAAGACAGCAAGGACCAACCCTCTCGGTGCCCGTCTTACCGTGTTGTCCGTTAAGAGAGAGTTGAATGTACATAACTTGAAGTTACCGATGTTACTTGTTATGGTTCGGAGAGTGAAACGCTTTCACATTGTTATACACCCATGTGATTATCACGTGCTTACCGGATCTTGTGCTTGCGCATTGACCCGTCTGCTACGTTCTCTGTCAGTCAAACAGCCATCTTCATGGCTACAGCGATGAACTCCTGATTGGTAGTAAGCTTTGATCTGGTAATAAAGTTTAAGATATGCTAAATCTCACCAAGTAAGTCTTAAGAAAATTACGGTGGCTCTGAACTATCTCTAAGATTTTTCATAAAGATTTATTTAACATACCAATTACAATTCAATGAAAAATGAGAAGTTAAAACTAAAATTAAGGATGTTTAACACTGGATTAAGTGCTGCTATAGCAACCTATTACGCCATACTGAATACCCGTAGGCCATCTTATATGTTTTTAGTTTAAACAATTCTAGATTTAACATACTGAGGTCTTTCTAGGAAGAGGGCAATACACGAAAGCTGTACTTACGTCAATGTTTAGAACACAGTGAAAAAAGAACAAAAATATCCCCTAGAACGGAAACAAGAAAATTTGATGGCAGTTAAAAAACTAATTTGTCAACATAAAGGTAGCTTGAGAAAACAGTCGACATTTCACGGCGCCATCACTCAGCGGGTTTCCCCTCGAAATGACGTCTGAGAAACGAGCTCTGAAATTCCATACTGACGACGTGTCATTATCCAGATCTGGGTAGTGCTTCTGATTGGCTGAAGCAAATTTACCTCAGTGTATGACCAATCAGAAGCGTTACCCAGTTCTGGGTAGTGATGCCTCATCAGTATGGAATTTCTGCGCTTGTTTCTCAGACCTCATTTCGCCGGGAAACCAGTGGTGTCAGCTGTTTTCTCAGGTTAGCATAAAGGAGAGAGGCTTTTCTAGCAAATCAAATTCATGGCCTTTAGTGTTGGAAGGAAAGGACAAATACCAGAAACCTAAAGACAAAGCTTTTTCACCTGCTGTGATGACGTCATTTGGTTTGAAATTGCATCATGAATTCATTCGCGAAATAACTTTGTGTATGTACACAATATTGGAGAAAATACCAACCTGTAAACCGTTAACAATTCCAAAAGACAGTTGAAAAACTACGTCTTTATCCTTATGGAAGGAAAGAATGCCAAAAATCCAGCCGAGGCAAAGGCCGAGTAGCATAAGGCTATTGGTCCTTAGGCCATACCTGTTCGAAACAAAAGAGGGCGAAAGAGGGAAGCACTTTGTTCACCTAGCATCGTTTCGCATTTTTCTATTCATACAGAGTATGTCTTTTTCATTGGAAGCGTACTTTTGCCTCCTTCCCAAAAATTTTTTTCATCAACTAAAGCAGTGATTTGGCTTCTTGCTTATAGCCGTTCCACCTTTTAAGATCATTAATTCGCCTTTGAATATCCAAGCCTTCTTTGGGACTAAATTTGGCCGATTAAAACGGAGGAACAACTCCCCCTTTTCCCCTTCACCTTCTTCTCGCGATTTTTCGCCCTCCTCCTAAAAAGAGAGCCTTATCACAAGAAATTAAAATTGTGCTTTGTATTCCATTTTCGCCATAAAATCTACTTATATGGATTATGTTGATAAGTGTTGTAATATTTGTAAAGAATTATAACACTGTGTTTCCATCCGGCAGGCAACGTAGTCATTTTGGGCGTTTTAATAGGACACGTCGTCCTGGAGACGTTATTTAGTTTCCGCCTGAATGTCGGTTTCCTCAGACTTCCATCTCTATTACTAACTATTTGTTTTCGTAAGTATAATGAAAGGCTTCAGGCTTGGGGTTTTACCTTGTACATCGTTTTTCTACTACAGCTCTGGCGCAGATGTCATATGAAGGTTGTCTTAGATGATGAAGTGTCACGCACAAGACCATCAAGTTGAGCTACAAAAATGAAATTATAAAAGCCTGGGTAAAAAAAAACTGAAGTCCGTAAAAGCAAGAACCAGCCTAGTCCCTAGGGCGATTCTCTCAGAAAAAGGGCGGGGCGGGAAGAGGCGGCCTGATATCGCGCTCTATGAGGTGACGCATACAGTCGAACTTCCATTAACGGCTACCTCCCCTAAACGGCTACTTCTCTACAACAGATACTTTTTTGGCAAAGAGTCCATATATCGACTCTTGTTTAAATCTCTCTACGATGGCCACTTCTCTGCAATGGCCACCTCTCTACCATGGCCGCTTTCTTCTGTCCCTAAGGTGGCCGTTTTAGAGAGGTTTAACTGTAGTTTGATTTTAGGGTGTATTGGGACCTATTGGGGGCACACGTGACCAGTCGATGCCAAGGTCTTTTCCAGCCCCTCTCACTTTCTAATGGAAAAGCTTCGGTGACAAGGTTGCGCAAGAACTTTCCAACAAGCAAAACAAATCATTCAAAGAATACATAACTATTACCGTGGCAATGAGAAGAGCTGGAACAACGAAGGTCCACACAATATGATCTGAATCCCAACACTCATAAAGCGATAAACTGAAAGAAAACCATTACAAACAGCCGTTGGTTTTTGTATGGTCATGTCATCAAAGAAGAACAATCGAATACTGCTAAGTTCTGAATAAAATGCTGACAAAATTTAGTGATATTGATTAAGTGTCAAGGTCATAGTTAAACAAGGGTCTGGGAGGGGGGAACCTGAACCCGCATTCCCTAATTCACGACAGTCCCTCGTCATATCCCGAATTTCAGTTATCTCTATCCCGAATACCGCTCTCTTTCCCAACAGCGCAGCCCGTGTCAACAGTTTGGCGAATTCCGTTTCCTTTGTAGTGGTCAAATCCCTATCCCGTCAAGACATTTTGCGTTTTCCTCTCTTTCCAGCACTGTATTTCGGTCAAATCCGGCGGGTATTCCAAGAATACCCTTCTACCCTGGTAAAACTGTCAGTAATGAAGCAAACACGAAAGTGAAAGTCAGCGGGGAAGCGGGGAAGCGGGGAGCGGGGATTACACCCATTGTAGTATTGGCTTCATGGTTAAATAGGGTATCATTTTCGCCCTTGCTGTTCCCTGCGTGATCCTTATTTGGGGCACCTAACTTTGTATCAGCTAAAATTCAAAGCGTAAATGCCCACCTGCACGAAAAACAAATCATCTCTAATTTGTATTAAGAATGCTCCTTATAGGTTGGTGTGTTGCCACAAATTTTTAGTTTTTGTCTTTCCTTGAAAAAGGTGCGATTTTTCGGGTTTGGGCCTTAAAAAGGGTATCAATTTTCGTTTACTTCATCCTTAAATAGGGTCCCTCTACAGGGTTACATAAAACTTTCTTAATTCACAAGGGCTCTTAACCATTTTTCGGGAACAAAACTTATTGTTTTGAAATAATAGTTACGAGTTTTTTTAATCTTAAGATGTTTTTTGCAATGCGACCCTGGGCGGCACAAACCTATCCGAAATTTATGGAATTACACCCCCCGCCCCCGCCGCTCCCCCCCGCAAAGATGAGCCATTCAATTACAAGGTAATGAGGTGACTAAGCTCGAGATACTCACACTGTTCCTTCGCTATTACTTGAGGTAGTGAATCCAATCGCTAAAGACATTCCTAAAACTATTAATGGAAAACCTAGAAAGATTTTTAACACAAAAACGATAAGAAAATCGGGATTAAAAGCTAGGTTTCAAGAAAGACTGTACGTAAGCATTTTATCCAACTATTCAAAACACGTTTGGTTAGGGCTTTCTGCAAGTTGCTCGGCAAATTTTTGGCAGCTTCTCGTATTTTTTGCAACTTTTTTCGTTTCGAGCAATTTTTTGCATTCTGAGCAATTTCTCTAGTTATGTTCCAATTATGATATATCGGAGCAGCTATTAGTGCTTAAATTGGCCTTTCTTCCGTGTCAGTTACGTGTTTTAGTAGACAATTTATGAATTTCCTGTAAGAAAAGGAGCCAAATACTCCCCCTACCCCCGTGGGGCAGATCAAGGCGCAAGATAAAAGTAGCCGGGCTCCTTCGTCAGAGGTTTTTAGAGACTGAAAATTCAAAATGGTGGACGTTATGGTGGACGAAGATTCACACTCGACTGACTTGAGTGTCTCGGGTGAAGAAGCCGGGTTATTTAACAATTTTATCGGCTCATTACATTTTTTGGTTTTAAATGAGAGCAAAGTTATTTAGCAACGCTGGTTACGTCGCAAAATTGCACAAAAATGCTTAGAAATCTTACTTTTGTTGTACAATTTACATATTTTAGCATCAGACCAAAAAAAGTTTTTGTCTTTTCGAGCAACTTTTGAGCAACTTTCGTTACAAAAAGCAACTTCTGATTGTTTTTTGAGCAACATTTGAGCAACTTTTTGAGAAATAACGGGAAACTTTTTGGAGAATCTCGAGCAATATGTGGAAAGCCCGTAGGTTCGGTAGTTCATTCATTCAATTACTCATTCACTCACTCATTCATTCATTCGTTCATTCATTCATTCATTCGTTCGTTCGTTCGTTCGTTCGTTAGTTTTTTTTGTTTCGAGTCGTTCGTTCGTTAGTTCATTTATTCATTCGTTCGTTCGTTTGTTTGTTTTGAGTAACTGTATCATCCATTCGCTCTTTCACTTGTGGTGCTGTCATAATATATCTTCGTTTTTCATTAAGAGGCCAAGAAATATCATCAATACGCTAAAAAAAAAATGTCATGTTGGGTCTTCCTGAAAGAAAAACCGCCCACTCTATTCAAACAGAGTTTATACACTACCGCACGAAATAAATAGATTTTGTAGAAGACAGGAAATCAAGAAACTCACCCCAGCCGAGCAACAGATAAAAGACGTTTCTCCTCAATGGATTAGCGCTGTTTGTATGATTGAAATACAAATACAAACTGTCCACTAAACACCAAGTAAAACAAGACAACGCGGAATAATGAAGTACCACTGATATTGCCTGGCATCCTTCCTGGGATGGAAAGGAAAAAACGTTGCTATAAACACTTTTACTAGCTTCGAAGCACTGTTAATAGCTCCAATTATGATAAGCGAAGCAAGCCGAGAGGAAACGCGCGAGCCAGCAACGAAGCCGCTTTCTTTCCTCACCCTTCACAACAGCGTCTCCTTTCGCGTGCGGCTCTCGCGTGACTTCTCCCGACAGTCCCCCAAATGTTTGTTTGCAGGCTATACTGTTAATAGTTTTGATGCCTTTGATGGGGAGCAAGGGTGGCGCAGTGGTGAGAGCAATCACGTATCCTGCCGTCGACGCCATGATGTGGGTTGAGTTTGTTGTTTGCTCTCTCCCTTGCTCTGAAAGTTTTTTCTCCAGATTCATCATCGGTTTTCCCCCTCTCCTCAAATTTCAATTCGATCTGGAACACACGGATACGTTTAAAGCCGTGGGTAAACAAATTACAATTTAATAGAGAGGAGAAGAGTGACGTCACGCTACCATGGTAGAAAAATTTCTGGATCTCAACAATAGGGAGTTTTGCAATGGCGACGGCAAACAGCAAAAGAAAACTGACAATAGGTTTAGATGTGCAAAAAACAACAACAACAACAACTTTGCACGTGCATCAAGCTTTCCTGTACATTTCTTAGCTGTTGTTGCACGACTGCAACATGAAACTTCCTAATTTAACCCAGAAAATTTCGCCAACATTTGACAAATTAAATGAAATTAAATAGGATCGATGAAGTTTGAAACAGTGCTAATCCACTTTTTAAGTGATGTTTTGGTTTGTTGTCATCCAGAAATTTTGCTACCATGGCAACGTGACGCAACGACTTCTCCTCTCTATTACAATACTAATTACAAATTATAAGTTACAAGACATACTATAGACTGTCCATACTATATCCATACAACAGGCAATTAATTATGTCTTCGTGTTTTGTAATTGAAATGGTCTACGAGAAGACTCTCTTTATGGCCCTACATTGTATCCATCAATTTAAATCCAAGGCAGTCTTTGATTCCAATTTCCAGTCAGCACTGGATTACGGATTTCTTGTCAGAGAAACTAATGGATTCCGGATTCCGATCGTTAGTGGGATCACGGATTCCCTGATGAGCTGAATGCCCAAGAATTCAGATTTTTTTAGCAAAGACTTTCCCGATTCCAGATTCCGCAGGCAAAAATTTCAAGGATTCCGGAATTTGGATTACCTGGCAACTCTAAATGACTCAAGGATGGCATGTGTTTTCTTTGGTGGCCATTTTATATTTTTCGGTTGGCTGCTGTGCGATCTGGAACCGAGAAATTTTGGGGGATCCGGGACAATCGGAAATTTCGAAAATTCTCGAAGATCCATTCACTTACCGACCCATTACCGACCATGTATAAACGAGATCCGATAGGTTTCGCGAGAATTTTCGTTTCCAGACCTTGCTTTAGCTGAACCCATAATTCAAATTATGTCCGTCAAGACAAGGAAATAGATTCATTCATTTATAATAATCCCGGATGTGAGTCCCCGGTGGTGAAACCTTGCCGCCAGACTCGAATTAATTTTCTTCTTAAGCTAATTAAGAACTGAACTAAACTGAATTCGGCTGGAAAACTAACCTTCTTTTCGTAGGCTCCTATACTGACAAGAAGAACAATTTGCGTAAGTCCCACAGCGTAGACTAGGTGTTGTTTTATCAAAAACGCCTCCGTCCTTGGTCTGTCAAATACACAACACAAAAAGTGAGTAATAACAAACAATGATTTAAGGAAATAGAGTATATTGGATCAGATTCTGGTTTCCATCAGTCCTGGAGGGTACTATAACTCCTACTGCGGGGAGGCTCCCCCTGGAAGGGTATCTTTTTCAGGCTTCAGTGTTTAAAAAGATAGGGATATGACGAGCTGAAGAATATGAAAGGCAAGAATACCATTTAGGTATTTCAAATCATTTGGGTATTCAAAAAAACCTTTCATGTTTGACTTAAAACAATTTGAACAAACACACCTTGAGGCTTTATCGTTTAATTTTCGTTGTGATCTTACGTAATATTGTTTCATTCCAAGTTTCAATGCGCAATGCGCAAGCACAAGATCTACTGGTAAGCGTTACTAGTAAGCAAGTGATTCCAAGTTCTTAGGCTGCGTGCAAACGGACGCAACAACTCCCAGCATTGTTGCGCCAACAATTTTGGGAGTTGTTGCGTGCGTGTTGGCAGTGGTTTGCTAACGGATGCAACAACTCCCAACAATGTTGGGACCTGCAGTGCATCGTGGGAAGGATACAACCCATAAGTCTTTGTAAACCATGTGTAATGAGCGTGCGTGGCCCCAACAATGTTGGAAGAGCTGTGCAAACGGATCCAACGTTGTTGCGCTACGCTTCGGCGATCACGGAGCAAAAGAAATGTTGGAAGTTGTTAGCTGAAAAGTTTGACCGGTTTCAAACTTTGCGCAACAACACGCAACAATATCCAACAACATGCAACAGGGTGTGCAAACGGACGCAACATGTAACATCTAACAATGTTGGGAGTTGTTGGCAAACAATGTTGCGTCTGTTTGCACGGGGCTTTAGGTGGGTATGTAAAAAGGGTGCCATTTTTAAATGTAAGGTTTAAGAAAGAACATATTTCATCGACTGGAATGGCTGTGAAGCCTTTCCGTCTCTCGAATGATCTATAGCATTCCTATCATTTTGATCTTACCGACCAATATAAATGTCGCATTAATTTATTCCTTCACAATTCGTGAACAAAAGACAAAGAATTATGCACATTCAGGGAGCACTCAACATAAAACCGCGGCGCCGCTGTTTTTACAATTGATGTTTGCTGCCTTTCAAAGCCAGTCTTCTCTACTAACTATGGAAACGGGTACTCTTTCTGCCCAATTGGTCTATAAAAGAGTTAAGGGTTGGCCATCGGGGAGGGGCCTCCACGTGTAAAACTTTGTTTTGAAATTCAAAATACAACTTTCATTGACAGCTTCAAATAAAAAAGCAACTAAATCACTCTTTTCTAACAGTATCTGCTAAATTATGCTGAGTATACTGCTTATTGTTTAGAATTCTTTTCAAAGATTTTTTAACCTTCGTTTTTCGGCAAATCTTCCTCTTAAAAAAAAAACAACAATTCTTGCCCCTCAAACACGGTTGAATGATTTTTCATCCGACAACCTCGTTCCTACGGTGCGAGAGAGAGTGGGACGGGTAGGAGAGAACCCTGGGAACGAGGTTGTTCATCCAAATCCTTGAAAATTTTGAAATTTTTTACCCTGTCATTACATCTTTCCTGTACGCATTCCGGGGCTCATTTTTTTTTGTCTTTGAGCCCATACAAGGATTTGTACAGAGACCACTTGACAGTGACTCAGGGTGGCAAGAGTTGTTTTTCCTGTACGAGTCCTTTTTATTTTCGGTTCGAGATATATGCCTGAAATTTACAGGATATTTACTGTTTTATATGCTCTTATAGTTCCGGCTAAAATCATTTTTTTCAACATCATTGTAATTGTGTTTACGGAAAGTCATCAGGTAACCATGATCTACTGCAAAAGGCCTATCCGGTTTCCATAGAGATAAATCCCACAGTCATTGGACTTTGATAAATTAATTCCCTGTCGAGTATTTAATTTGATTCATCGCTTTTTGAAACACTTCCCACTATTGAAAAGAATCAAAACAATAAGTTTTTATTTGCATGTAAATTTAAACCTTCCAGGTGAATGTCATAATCTTCGCCGTAGAGTCGTACAATGTATGTTAAGGAAGACGGACGAATTTCGATCTAAAGTTTTATTAATAGACCACTGCAAAAAATATAATTAAACCAACAAAAAACAAACTTGAAAACTGCATTTTTGCGTTCCTATCCTGTTCCGGTATATTTTCAAGTTGAAAGAGGTTTCAAAACCGATTTTACAAAATCGTAAGCTGTGAAATGTATTTCAATAGGCTCCGGGTGATCACTGTATTCGTTTAATTAAGATTTCCCTTTTTCATAGATCTACAAAGTTCATAGGAGATGGACGTATGTGTAATGAGTCCAACCACTCAGTGACTATTCAAGATTTGAATAATACATTTTTTTACAAATGAGGCGGTTCTTGAGTTTTCATTTGGGTCTAATTGAACTGCAGTTTCTACAGAGCAGTGCTTACTTGGAATATTGTTTATCACTAATGCTTTCCATGGCGATTTTAACGTTTACTTCGAGTCTGAAGATGAACAGCGTAATATGCAGTTTCCGAGTAAGATAACGATACGTCGATCCATCTGTTTTTTGACATCCGGTCTGAGCTTCAAGGGCCGGAGCATGCATATGAATGCCCAACTGATTTATTCAGGATAAAAAAACAACAGTGATTATGTTGTGAAGTGATCTTCTTCCATTTCAAGAATCTTTTGAACTCTTTTGAAGCGTCAATAAAAGACCGTCAATCATGAATCGAGTAAACAATAAAATTTGTAGCGTTTCGAAACGTTTACGAGGAATTGGGACAAACGCAAAATTTGGTTATATTCTGGCAAATTAAAAAGTCAGAGCTCTATTTTTCACTTTTTCGGACTTTTGGCAGATGCATTTTTTGTCTCTCCGGGTGGTCAATTTATCGGAATCAGAAGTTGCAAGCGGTAAGACTGAATATTAAAGATGGATTAAAAGGAGAAGTAGTTGATCATCGCCCGTATCGCCTCATAGACTGACCATTTCCGAGCCGAAAGCTCATTGGCAAATTAATAATATAATCTTCTTTCTCCTAAGCAAATTTCTTAAATATGTCTGCAATCGTTAAAACCAAATTTATTCGGGACATTTTCAAGCGATTATTCTGTAGCGTCAACGTCTTCAATTAGCTCAAAAGTTAACAATAAATAAACAAAAATAAAAAAGATAATCGAATGCTAATTTTTCTGCCGTGTTCACCCGCTTTAAGCTTAAATACAGCGCTGAGAACTTCGCCGATTATTCCCTTCACGGAGTTGCGTTCATATGTTTATTGCCTCGCCGGGGTATGCTTTCACAAAGAGTTTTCCGTACAAATTAGATATTTCCTCCAGTGTTTATAAAGATAATGAGGAAACGCGGAAATTTACAGAATAGAAAATTGTAGATCAGTTTATACTTTCCTTGCCTCGCAACAACCGATTTTGACGCTAGAAATAAAACATTGTATAATTTGCTTTGTGATCTAAAGCTGTTTTACAAATAATTGGTGTTGAGCCGAAGTATTGTTTAGGTTACTGAACGATCTAGCTCACCGCTTTAATTTTAACCTCTTTTATAGCTTGCCTGCGTAAAAAAATACCAAACGAGCGTTTATATCTGTTAAATGGCACGGCTTTCATTTGGTTTTATTTCAGAAAATGGGGGGAAACATTAAGAGTGTTTGAAGACAATGCTGCGAATAAACGTTCAATAGTCGAAGTGAAAATATATTTAATACTCGTTACAGAAAATCGACAGCGGTTTGAATATTAGGTGTATACATTGTGTATGATGTAGTCAGTGGAGGGCTGAGAACTCAATTTTTTTCGGACACTAAATCCTCCGCTTTCATTTTCAAGAATAAATGTCGGAAAGGGAAAAAACATCAGGAAAAGCTCACGTTTTGTTTTGGTTAAGCGTAACAAAGTTTGCCCCAAAAGGGAGTAAAGTTTTTGCTAGTGTGATACTTCAATTCGATAGTTGCCAATAACAATATTTCAGTTTTTGTGGTGAATTGAAAATTATGTTTAAGACATTGCGTGTTTTGAACGTTGCAATTGTTATTTCAGACATGTTATTTACTCTGCTCATGGCAGAAACAGGATGAAACTAAAAAATTGTCGTCTGTTTTATTCGAAAATGATTAGTCAGTAGTTGTGACGTCTAAAAGCTAGTAAAAACTTTATCTTTAGCATAAACAATGATGTTGAATTGCTATCGAAACAAGTAATGGTTGCGACTTGAAACAGCGGAAAACTTTCACACGTTACAAACTTTATTTTGACTGGTTGCTTAAAAAGCAAGGGGTCTTGCTGGACCAAATTTAGACACTGATCTTAAAAGTAGACATTACAACTGAACTCTAACAAATCCAAGTACAAATACTCATCAAAATTTCGTAACATTCAATATTTCATTTCAAATATGTCATAGCTGATCGCATAAATTGTGTTGTTAAAAAGTAGTGTATGTCCCTAGCTAAATGTCCGTTTTTATGCATGAAGATATTCAAAACTATTATAATATGTTCAGTAAAACGTTTTTCTTACTGGGAATTACATTAATAAATCACTCAAAAGGCTTCTAGGGCGGAGAGCTGGACTATCTGGAGTGTAAAATTTTAAAAACAAACAAATCTCACCTGAAGAATATGAAAGCAACGACAGAAACCACGCAGAAAAATAAAGATATCGCGCATCCGACGATAGCGGTTGCATCTAAAGGACCTTGACTAGGTACGTACATTTTTCATTGTACGATCGAGTTCTCATCAAACCGCCTTGTAACCTCTCCGTCAACAAACGATCGATGCACACGCAAATTAACTGAAGATGCAATACATCTGATGCAAATTCAAAGCTTCAAGCGTTTCATGACTTGTATAAGTCCCGTGATATCGACCCACTCTTGACCGCAGGAAATCTCACTACATTGTCCGGGCTGTTCAATGCTCGTATTGCGGAATTGAAGAAACAGTATTAATGAAATGTATTATTATATGATAAGGCGACAGATTTTTGTCAATGGAAGGCGTTAACTAGAAATGAGAACACGATTTTGAACAAAACGAAACCCGGCTCCCTGTAGCTTTGTGAGGTTAGTTAACGAAGTTTGATTTCGAACTGTTTACCACAGAAAAGTGACCATTCTGTAATTTAAATCCACAGACTATATTTTCTTAATGTCAGCGTTCTTATTGGCTAATATCTTGTTCAACAAAGCACGTGCCAAAACAGGTGCTTACATACATAGTCGTTTTACGGGGTCGCTTATCAAGCTTTATTTTCATATGTATAACAAAAAATGCTAAATAATGCCGCACAAAATACTGGAAGACAAAAACAAATACTTGAATTGTATTGCTCACATAATTTCATTCAAATGGTCATCATGCTTCAAAATTTCAACCACAAACTGGAGAGGTAAGATACTATCATATACTGATTCGTAGTTCGCAGTGAGCAGGTTTCGAAGTCTCACTTAAAATACTGTGGCTGAATGTTGAATAATTTTAGCTCTTACTAAAGAGAGCCCCTCAGGCAAAATATTCATAAATAAAAATTTTGCTTATTAAAAATTGAATCGTCGCTTTCAGCAATGATTGAAATGTGATCACTCAAACTCAGTTAGACTTTTATGTACAACGAACTATATTTAGTTTATCCGGCGGAAGATTGTTTAGTCAAGAACAATTAATTGACTTAAGTTTAATTTTTTTATGTCCACTGACAAAAAGTTCAGAGATGATAAAAAATCGTCTCAATCAAGGCAAGGAAAAGAAGAAATGTTAAAAGTAGTTTATTAGTATTGTTTTTAAGTAAAATCTGTTTTAGCGTGAATTTTAATGGTTGTAAAAGTCGTTCATTTAAACGAACGTAAGTTAAACCGGAAAATATGTGTGCTTCAACATGACAGTCTTTAACTGATGCCAAGTTTAAAAGTATCTAAACAGACGGGGGCAAAATAAATTTAAATTGTAGATCAATTCGCGACGATTAATAAATTTACTTCGTACGAAAATGAAAAAGAATCTGATAGATCTGAAAGCTTATGATTTTTGCCTTTACATGGATCTTTTTAACATTTTATCGTTTTCTTGATCGGGACATTTTTTCTCATTTCCTCGCGGCGATTGCACATTCTAATCCATATAAATGGAAGCTTGGTAACAAAAATACAGTCAAACCTCACTTGACGGACACTTCATTATTACAGACAGTTTTCTTTGTCCCTGGGGAAAGAAATCCGTTACATTTTCTCTGATTCAACCCGCTTAATACGCGACACCCCCTTACTACGGGCACTTTTTATGGCCCCATCAGTGTCCGTATTAGCGGGGTTGATTGCGGTAAGGAAACACAATTTCGGTTGGGTTCCGCTCACATGATGATCGTTGCAAGAGTGTCAGTACACTGTACTAAGCATGCGCGTGCCAGTTTAATGCTAGCCTGAGAAAACAGCCAAAAATTTCGCGACACCAGTACTGGTTTCCCCGCGAGATGTGACGTCTGAGCAACAAGCGCAGAAATTCCATGATGAAGTGTCACTGGGCAGGTCTGGATAGTGATTCTGATTAGTTGAAGCACAACCAATCAGCAGCACTACCCAGATCTGGGTAGTGACACGTCATCAGTATGGAAATTCTACGCTTGTTCTTCGCGGGGAAACCATTAGTGGCGTCGTCGGGAAATGTATTGTAGATGTAAAAGACCTTAATAACAGTTGTTTTAGTACTTCTTTAAATCTCCAGGGAAATTATAATTGCTAGAGTCAATTAGCCTTACAATAATAGTCGAGTTTTGTTGCTACGATAATTTCTAGTTTGTTTAATGGTGAGACAAGAACATTGATACCTGATTTTACATTTAAATTTGGTCTCTATAGTTCTGAGTTTTTGAAACTTTTTTCCCATTCCTTTGAAAAACTGCCCCATGATTTACATTCCTTTTAAAATATCACATTAATTTAATCTTTTTTTTTTTTCATATTCAAAGAAATTGATGTGCAATATTAAAGTGTATATGACAGAAATTTTCTTATTTGCTTGATAGAATCTATACAGTGTTTTGATAAGGAAAGCAAAAAAAATTCAGCAAAAGTTTCCGAAAATTTCTGTTGGGAGTGAAATGAAACGCTCCGCTCCGATGCATCCAGTCCTTAATTTGAGATGCGCCTGGGACTCCCTGTAACATTGTACTGTATTGTTTAGAATTGCATCTTGGGACAACCTCGTTCCCATGGTACTCGGGGGCCGAGTAGTAGAGGAACTGGGCTTCCAGGGGAACGAGGTTGCTCTAAGGACTGTTTTGGTGACGCTTGGTCACGATCATTCCAGCTGGGTTAAAATGTAAAAATATAACTGAATTTTCCTGGAATTGATATCCTGGAGATCGATAAGTTAAGTAGGAGAAAGGAGAAGTCGTCGTCCAACGTAAATCGACGCACCATAGAATTTCACATCGCGGTCGAGCAGTGACGAAAAAAAATGTAGAGAAAAATAGTACTGCACGTGTAGAGTTGTTGTTTTGCTTATTAAACCTAACCTATTGCTTTAGAAGTTCTCGTTGCTGTCGCCGTCGTCGTTGCTAGAGCCCTGTATTTACTACTACGAGGTTAAACGGAAAGTGGATCAAAATTCACCTCCCTAAACAGTCAGCCCAGAGTACAATTCTCATCTTGATTTGACCATATTTTTTAAAAGAATTCGCTTGTACTTACTCTATATAACTAACAATCCTATTCGCAATAAGTCTCAACGTTGAACACTGATAAGAATGAATCCACCTTATCGAAAATTTAGTCTCGATAAGAAGCTATAAGAACTGCAACCGTTTACTACGTACAAAAAAATTCAAAAGCAAGTAACTCTACCTACCTTTTACTCGGCTACAGTTATCGCTACAATAATCTGTCTCGTCGAATAAACAGAGAAAGTAACGGCTTTTTTGTTCACATTTTGCAGTAAGGTTGACACAGATGGCACGATGAACTTGTTTGCGAAAGAGATTCATTGCTCTAGAATACAAAATGGTTTGATACGCAGTGTACTTTCGAATCTTCTTTCCCGAACGAAATGATTGTAAGAGAATTTGAAATTTGAATATAATGGCCCAAAGCAACTTCGTAATTATAAGAAACACGTTTCCTGATTGGCTGTTATAATGCACGTGCTTACGCAACGAGAAACAAGAGAAGCGTTGTTTAAATGTTCCAAATCAGTATAAAACAAAAGAATTCCTCGATCTCCATAAAAATGGAGAATTTGAGGATTTCAGGTGTTTCCTTTGTTTACTGCACGAAGTTCTGTGTTTTAAGTGAATCGAAATATCGGGCACAAACAATTAGCCTTATTTGGATTCCCTTTCTCTCTTTAGGGATCAGTTTGCGGTTATTTCTTCAGTTTTATAGCAGAAGATGAGAAAGGTCTATAGGGCTATGTCACCGAGTTAAGAACAAAATCAGCCAAAAAGATGCAAAATGCATTCCATCATGCGTAGTTGCCGAATTAGTTTTTGGCGCGGGTGAGAGTTTTGGTGTCTTAAGACTAGAAACTAGTCCCCAGACTTCCTTCAGTAACGACAATCTTATTCAGCAATTCCCCTTCCCCCCCCCCCCCGGACGAAAGGAAGAAATTATGCATGATCACTGTCTTTACTTCTCTTGGGACGACTAAAATACCCAGGATAAATAAGGAACAAAGGTGATGCAAATTTTTTCCCAACTGTAATACCCAGGTTTACATAGCCTAAGGGACCAGTCATTATTTATCGCCTGGGGGAGGGGGCGGGGTGGAGGATTTTGGGGGGATCACTTGATTTTTAGGAGAAAAAAAGGGGGGATGAGTCGCAACTGAGAACCCAAACGGGGGGATCAGAAATATTGATCAGTTTGACCCTTGATTTATGTCAATTGTAAAAAGGACCCTTTTAGTTTCCGTAAAACATGTTCACTACAAGTTTACTTCAGGGACTAACAATTAAAAAAAGTATCACATAAAATGAACTTAGTAACACACCACAAAAAATCTCTCAGAAAAAAGCTGGGATTTTCATTTAAGGGAATTCATCTAGCTATAATTATCTTCAAGTTCAGTACTATTTAAAGCTTTCACGATTTCAAAAAATGATTTATAGGGAGTCTCAGAAAAAGACTAAGAAAGGAAAATTAAACAATCTGTACAAATCAATTAAAGGAAGCTTCTATTGAACGATTAGTATACATGAATTTTAAGGCATTAAAACTATAGATTCCTTCTAAATACCCTATTCCATTGATTAGAGAAAACATGTATGTAAAAGCGTTTAAATACCAACACACCCTTATGAGTATCGCCTCTTTGTATCTCTATATCCTGCTTTACTCGGTAGGTCAGAGTCTCTCCTTCTTCTAGATTAACGTGTACCAATCGAAATGCGGCTGCCTTCTTCAGCGAGACAACTGTACCCAGCAGTAGAATGGCGGTAAGGATTCCAATCAGGTAAGACACTTTCCACTTACGAGAAGACCCCTTCGAATCTAAAGGTTTGTTATCACTAAATTCCACTTTTGGTTTGGGGTCCTTATTGTTTGCCATGGCGCAGCTAAGAGACACTTCCCTTGTTCCTTCTGCAGAGGTTTGAAGGTGCAGTTATGCATTTCTACCCCTAACGAGGCTATTTAAGTAGCATTTGCTGCGACAAAGAATTTACCAAGAGGATAGTAATTTCTAAAGAATAGTCACACTCTCAAACCCGGTGCCCGCAATCAGAGAGCCTGTTTCCGGCAAACTTACTTTGTGTAACGAAAAAAAGAGGAAAACAAACAAACTACTTAGGCTGAATGCACGCCTGCCTCCTGTTCCTGTTTACCATCTATTATCCTTCATATTAGTCAGATTAGTACCTTCTAAGTGCATGTTACGTTTCTCTTTTTCCTCATTCTGAATAAACGTTGAATCTGTAACCTTTTTCAAGTGACTTTGCCCACAAATGAAGGTGAATCACATCAGTGGTCCATGGAACAATCCTAACAATGCCAGAGAAACCGTTATTTCCTCAAATGTCCACCAACTCAACATTAACACAGTTGAGCAAACAATGAAGCGGTTAGCCTCTCCATTTTCCGAATAACGTTTAAGTGTAACTCTTGAGTAGCCTGACCCTCGCTTTCACTC